TGTAGGTCAAATTAATAATTATAGTTTTTTAGGTTAAGTTCAATAAAGGTTGAAGTTTAAAATGAAAAACCCCGCTCGTGAACTGGGATTCTTTTGCTAACCTTATCATACCCACCAATCGTGCAAAACCTTCAAAGCCGTCTCGGTTGGTAACCACGCCGCATCATATCTACGGGCAGTTTGGGGCTCCGCACCTGGCGCGGCCGATATCCAACAATTACTATTGGATAAATTTGATGTGTCAAATGAAAGAGAACAACTTAGATGGCCTAAATGCCATTAGTCAAAAACACCTCTGACATTTACAGAAACGCCTTAAAGTGCGTTCGACTGAATAATGTGGATACTATAGTTCCGCTACTAAAATCTGAAAATGGTAACGAATATGCAATCGCATTGATATGAGCTTTAACAAAATATCTTGTAGCTGTTACAGTACCAAATAAATCGGCTAATACCGTTGCAAAAGCAATATTTTAATCTTTTATACTGAAGTTCGGCCCAATGAAGACGTTCATTTCGGACATGGGAACTGAATATAAAAATTCTGTTTTTACTGACTTTTGCAAGTACTTAAAGATAGACAATTTAACTCTACAGTACACAACCACCAGAAAGTTGGACAGACAGTAGAAAGAACTTAGAACTTTCAATGAATGCATACGTTCTTATATATCAGATGATAGATATTTATGGCTACAATATTTTGTTTACTGTTTCAACACGACTCCCTCTATGGCACATAACTATTGTCCTTATGAATTAGTTTCTGGTAAACAATGTAATTTGCCATCGTATTTTAATTCAGTAAGTAATATAAGTTTTTGATACAATATGGAAAACGATGCCAAGGAAATTTAAATTTTTAAATTTAGATTAGAAACAGCTTATGGAAGAGCATAAATAATGATAGATATACATAAGCAGAACAAGTAAGAGTTTCTAGTCGAGAGCTCCCGACTAGGGGATACCATGAACCCTCTTCTTCCAACATCAATTGCATATGTATATCCTATCTTAGAAGCTATATGTCAAGTTCGGTGACTCTAGCTCTTATTATTTACCAAAATTGCCCAAAAAACAAGATATCGATATCGATTTTTATCGATTGCTTGGAAACGGAGTAAGTTATCGATTATCGGAAACAAACTTGATCTGCGCGGGAACTAGGAGCACCTACATCTAAAATTTAAAGTCTCTAGTTCTTATAGGTTCTGAGATCCTTGCGTTCATACATACGAACGGACGGACGGACTGACAGACAGACAGACGGTCATGGCTAGATCGACTCGGCTATTGATGCTGATCAAGAACATATATACTTTATGGGGTCGGAGATGCTTCCTTCTGCCTGTTACATACATTTGGATTTTGCACAAATACAATATACCCTTGTACCCATTTTTAATAGGTTCAGGGTATAAAAATAAGGAATTGTTTGATAGGAAAAAATTAGACTTAAATTTGAGTATATATATTAGATAATAAATACCTAGGATCATATACGGTAGTAAGCATAAAAGAAAAAGACAATGATATAATAAAAGATACAAAAGGTAAAGAACAAAAAGTTTTACAATTTAATATGAAAATAAAACAAAAAAAAAAATGTTATAATTAAGTTACGTTAATTACGTTATGTTACGTTATTTCTCTAAAAAGGGGAGGTGTAGTGTGTATATGCCCTAAATGGATACCCTGTATCCAACTATAACAGCCAAGACCCACTTGTATATATTTGCTCCGGCTCATGTTAAGTAGCGCGACCCACCAGCCCTCCGCTGACCACTTATGCATACCCTGCATATTCCACTCTACGTCTGGAGCGCATAACGTGGGCACTATATATATGCTCACCAATTCAGGCACATGCACACGCTCCTACCCTCATACATAAGAAAGCTCTGCTGAGACAGCCATACATAAGTATACGGCACTTATGTATTAGGCTAAGCTCTTATAATTGTTCAAATAAAAAAGTTCATTATTACTCTTATAAGATTACAACATGCTGAATTTATTAGTTAATAATATCTGCTTCTTTTCGACCTCGTTAACTCTTGCTCGATGACTCGTATTGGCCATTTGTCGCTATACGGGCAGTCGAGGCGATTTATTATCGCATCAAATTTTGATACTGTGCAAAATGAAGCCAACAAAGCATCTTGCTCCTTATAATGATCACTGCCTGATAATAATATGTTGCCATCGCAGCTTGTAGCCAAGAAACATAGGCTTCTTGCGGCCCTGTTAATTCAGGCAGACGTTTGACTGCAGCTCAGCGACTCATCGCAACGAACATAGTCTGTGATTTGTATTTCTTCGAAAGCTTCTATTGGAGAGGCAGTAATTTTCGTATTTGCAGCTTTTTTTTTAATTCAGCAATTTGCAATTTCTCTAAGCTTTCCCTTCAGGCCACGTCCCTTGCATTGAAAGCGTCTGCCTGCGCTTGCAATACAGTTGAGACCGCCGACTCTACTAAAGTTGTAACTAGTTGGGATCCATGTTTGGTTTGCTTATCAAAACTGGGATTCTACCCAGGTCGTTATCTGAACCCTCTGAATCTGAATTTCCTGGTTTGGAGTACCTATATTCTTGGATCCTATTCATGGATCGCTGTGTAACAAAATCAAACCACCAATCAACCGGAAAATCAACAATATTTTCAAAATGTTAGCAAAGCAAAATGGCATACAGTTCACAATATTATTATATTCAGATTTATTTTTATTACGTTAAAAGGCTAACGCAATCTTAGGATATGATTTTTGTTAAGCAACTCACATACATTGTATTCAATGGGGACGTACCTTATCGTTCTATGATCTATTCGTTGACACTGCTGCTCCCTCGAAGATCGAATTTCAAGATCGAATTTCAAATCGCTTCCCAATTTAGATTGAGCGCTATTCTGGTGACACACCGCTGACCGATGAGCTCCTGCGGCCTTGGTAAACAAATAATTAAATATTGTTCTGACTAAATTGACGTAGGTCAAGAGAGCGAAAACACACTGAGCATTTTGATGCCGGGTATGAACACTTTGTCAGAAGGAAATTGTCCTGTTCTGTTTTTATACCCTAAACACATTAAAAATGGGTATGAAGGTATATTGTATTTGTGCAAGATCCAAATGTATGTAACAGGCAGAAAGAAGTATCTCCGACCCCATAAAGTATATATATTCTCGATCAGCATCAATAGCCGGGTCGATCTAGCCATGTCCGTCTGTCTGTCCGTCCGTCCGTCCGTCCGTATGTATGAACGCAAGGATCTCAGAACCTATAAGAGATAGAGACTTGAAATTTTAGATGTAGGTGCTCCTAGTGCCTGCGCAGATCGAGTTTGTTTCCGATAATCAATAACTAACTCAGTTTCAAGAAATCGATACAAATCGATATCAATATCCGTTTTTTTGGGCAACTTTGATAAATAGAGTCACCAAACTTGACAGATAGCTTCTAAAATAGAATATATATATGCATTTGATATTGGAAGAAGAGGGTTCAGGGTATCCCCTAGTAGGGAGCACCCGGCTAGAACCTCTTACTTGTTTTGTATAAAAATTCACTTTTCACAATGGTGGCTTGTCGCGAATTTGTAGAATCAAAGCTTACTTTACATTGCATTATTTAAGCAGGCTTATGTTTAGGCTTTGAGGCTTTTGGGTGTATTGATTAAGTGACATTTATTTGTAGCCCGTTTGGCAGTTATGTGTTACAGTGACGGCTTGGCGCTGGAGCTAACAACGTTTATTTCAGAATTGATTTTACATTATTAAAATTGTTAGGGGCTAAATACAAAATATGAAAATATGTTAATTTGCTATTTTAATAACATGCAGCTAAGGCGTGGTCTGCAAGATATCCGATTACCGCCGTTGCGGGCTGCAGCGGGAATGCTGACATGAAGTTTTCACTCGCCAGCATTGCGCTTGTACATGTACACATAATCATTTAAACGCGTCCTTATAGAATTCTATCAACAGCATCCCAATTGCGATTATATTTTTCTCTGTGCAGATATTATAATTGTTTTTTTTAGTACCGATTAGTTGTCTGTTTGGATGTTGAGTAGAGGCGGCGGAAAGCAGTGTGCTCTGTTACGAGCTCAAATCCTATCGAGGAAACTTCTTTGATTTTTATATTTTTATTTTTATGAGTGGTAAAGCAAACAAGGGGTAACCCTTAGTCGGGAGCTCCCAACTAGAGCCTCTTATTTGTTTTATCTTAAACTGCTGAGGTTTTGCTTTAATGTGATTTTACGATTGGAATGCGCGTTCGAGATGCAAGCAATTATCTGATTCACAGAGATGTTTTGGGGCTGTGCTTGTGGGATGGCAAAATGTCAGACAGGAAGGGGACCGTTCTCCGGAGAACAGAAGAAATTCTGTTTTGCACGAAGATATGGTTGACTACACACAAGCATACAATCACACATACATATGTACATATACCCAAGAAAATATCGATAGGAAAAAGTGTTATTGAATGTGGAAGAATTGTCAAAATTGGCGCGTCCAGTACCTGGTACATCCTGAACTGCCCTCGTTGCACATCAATATGAAAACATATTGACTTATTGTAGTAGTTATATATACATATGTATGTATATAAATATATATGTATATATAAATACATATATATATATATATATATATATGAATATGAATACTTATGTCTGTACATATATGTATATGAATTTACTAGTATGTATACGCAAGGTATAAGCCAACCGAAATATAAAATATGTCTGCATGTGTGTATGAACAACACATATATGTACATATAGTACGGGAGGGAATAATTTCAGAAATATTGCCGTGCGTACGCCAACAATTATTTACATACAAATACATACACGTATACATATATACATATCTATACATTTGTAGTATGTATGTTTACAGATAAATATGAGAATAAACATTCAATGTACATACATATGTGTGAGTTTCTGTACGTATGTATGTAAAGATATTTATTTATATTGATATCCACTTTCTCAGTCGTTAGGAGCACATGCTGTCAGTAAGACTCAAGTGCGTCATTGCAACGTTTTTTTTTCTTTAATTGTGCGGTGTCAATCAGAGATAAGATATCTTCTTATAGTTACAAACATACATACATATATACATATACATATACATACAGAGGCATGGACATATACATAGTTGTGCCCGAGTAATATTTGATTATAAAATACAAATTGTAATTTTTTCAGATGTGTGTCAAGCTAGTTCTTATGTATTTAATTTTCAGTTATTTAGTAACAAATAACAACTCAATACAAATATGCTGTACACCACAATCAATATTATACAAGAGTCAAGGATCAAATAACTCTACTTATTTAAAATGTATTCATGCTATGGATGGTCTAAATGAAACAGTTAATCCTACAAGTATGGACATGCTCGGCAAAACAGAAAGTCCACAAGGATATGGCTTGGAAATTCTTAAAGAAATTAGCAGACATATGAAGTTGCTACAATGTGCACATACCAGCATTTTGAATATATCACTGTTTACAGAAATATCAGTCAACGTATCACCGGAATCATGCCTTCTAATTGTAAACAACAGTCTTATTGTTGTAACATGTAAATCCAGCATTGGTGATGAGCTTCAAAGTATTGGTTTTGTTAACAAATGCTGTCCCCATGGTTACACATATGTCTCTGAATTAAATAAATGCTATTTACGCGAACCCGACTTCAATGTATACTCTTCCATTTTCGACAAGCCAATGATATTTGTCGATAATTCATTCGTATGTCCTAAAAATAATGTTTTAGTTGAATATGTGGTTGAGGCGAAAACAATACACTTAAAAAAACGACAAATTTTACTTAAAGACTATGGCAGATCGTTTAAAAGAAATGAATTTTGCATTGAAGCTATTGAAGTGTTAATTGAAAATAGAAACCCTCAACTCTACAAAAATAATGAGCAATTTTTAGTTCGCACTTGTCAACAACTTCAAATTTGCGATTCGGTACCATGTATTCGTAAGTGTTGTGCCGACGGTGAAATATATTACAAAGGGAATATGACGACTTCTTGTATAGGCGATGAAAACAATTCTAAATTTCAGAGTCTAGCAACTATGAATCTCAGTGGAGTTTTCACGAAACCCTCAGGTATGTAAGATTTAATATTAATTTTATGGGTTCCAAGTACTATCTCTTATCCTTCTCCCTCTCAATCTACAAAATTGCCACTTAACATTTTTATTTGTATTTATTGGAAATAGTTTGAGGGTTATCAGGTAACCTACATTTGAATGCAAAACAAAATGTTAAGTGTGGCTTTAGACAATATTGAGAAACCTTGTTTGTCACGAGTAGTGTTTTGTATAAATATTGATGAATTTCCAATATTATAATATTTAACAAGTAAGAGGTTCTACTCGGGAGCTCCCGACTAAGGGATACGCTGAATCCTCTTCTTCCAACATCAATGTGTATATATATTCTATTTTAGAAGCAACATAACGTTTGGGGACTCTAGCTCTTATTATTTACGAAAATTGCCCAAAATACCGATACCGATGTTTATCGATTGCTTGGAAACGGAGTAAGGTATCGATTATCGGAAACAAACTCGATCTGCGCAGGCACTAGGAGCACCTACATCTATAGAAAAGACGCGCATCTGCTACCGTGTATCGAAGACATCCTATCCAGGGTAGACTAGACGCATTAAATCTCCAGTGCAGACTTGAAGTTCGCGTAGACGACAAGTGGAGCTAGATAGACAAGGCAAATTGGACTGAGATGCGGTCCTATTCGTTTTCGTTTATCTTGACCACCTGCTGATAATTGCCAGAGATTTCCGAACACATCTAAGGTACTAAATTTTGCTTCAAAGCTTCAAAACTTCATAAATAGGGATGCGGGATGCTACGACCTCTATCGTAATGAATTTGGTCAACCAAGTCTTTTTCAAGTCTGGAGTACCCCAGATTATTCACTCTGATAACGGTCGCCAATTCACATCAAATACTTTCAAAAGTATGTGCGCATATGCGCACCGTAGTCTTCGCGCCACAAAGTATTGCGGCAGAGCGAGAAAACTGCACCGTGTTGTTGATAATCAGGGCGTATCTGGAGATAAATCATCAGGTGGGACCTACACCTTCCAGAAATATTAGTGTCCATACGAAATGCTATAGGATATAAGTGCGTAGAGGAAGGCTGTGGAGTGCCGGCAGGGGCAGAGAAAAGCTAGTATCCCATTGCTTCCAATGCTTCCGGCAGCATGGCGATGCATGGGGTCTCAAAGAAATCGATAGTCCGGTTCGGGCTAGGACTACAATTTAGCTTAGGGTGTTCAAATTATGCAGGGATGCCAACGCCGATCCTAGTATCCACGGCGTTGAGTGAAAAAAGGAGAGCGTTAACGATTGCACAGCTATTCGCTCGGAGGGAAATGAGCGAAATCCCTAGTCTTTCGGGATGTCCTTGGCCTTCCATGGTCGTATACCGAAATATGCAGTTGTGCTTATGGTCAGCAAACAGGCGAAAATGTACGTGTATGCGTAAGCAGACCTTCAAACATCTTTGCTGCTTATGGCAAAGGGGAATCCGTTTTGAGTGGCGGAGTACTGCGCGCAAGCGCAGTTGGTTATATTCATACATATATAACAAGTAAAAAGCCTCAAGCGGAAATTTCCGACTACTGCAACTTTTTTCAACTGCAGCACGCACTACGCGTTCGTTTGTTCCCTCGGTAGGCTTCGAACTCGCAACAAAACACACTACTTGCCGCCGCCTCTACTCAACAACCACAGCAATAATTGAGTCCGAATAATAAATAAATAAGAAATGAATGTGTGTATACATGTATATAGAAATTATTTGTGCTAGCTGCCGTAAGCACGAGGTCAGCCAAAACTCATTTTCTTTGAAAACTTGTGTTTCTTAAACGATCTTGATGAAAGTTTCAACAGTAGATCTCTAAAAGCCAATTGCACTAAAATTATGGCTTAATTTGGTGAGCAGTATAAATTGGTTTATTTACTTGATTTGTACGTATGAGGTAGTAGCGAGGTAGGAGTAGGGAGGTGGTGATAACTATAAAAAAAGGTATAAAAAGGGGCGAGCAAATATGTATAAGTTCGTGAAATTTATTTTACCACATAAAATTTACAAAAATGATCAGTACTCAATCAAATCATAAAGGCTTAAAACAACAACTAAAGAAAACGCCACAAAATAAGGGATAAACTGCAATAATTGGTTCCGGCACCAAAGATATTAACGTCGAGAACGCTAGGCTGGTCCTCTAAGCAATCGAACCAGAGTGGTCTGCGGAGTGGCCAAGAGGACGACGGCATCAAACCTGTGTGTCCGTTTCAGGAAACGTTTGAGTTGTCGTTCTTATTTTGGCAGTCCCGGTCACCAAATATGTCGTGGTCTTCTGAGTGGCACTACGTTGTCGTTTCAGATGAAAACATTTAATTTGGAAGAGCCCATTGGCTATAATTTTTTTTCCATGATCTACGTATAATCATCATTCGGACCGCCTCCACAGCCGAGAGGGTGGTGTGATGGTGTGGGGATCTTTATCATACTATCGCACCTGCGAATTGCAGTTTTTAGCTTCGCGTATGAATGCAGATAACTACGGCGTTTTAAAAACTGATTTTCCCCACTTCCAAAATGTATTTCGGGATCTGAAATGGCATTTCCAGCATGATAATGCCCCAATTCATACTACCCGTTCCGTTAAAACTTGGACTTAGAGCCAAAAAGTTGAAGTCCTTGAGTGGCCACCATACTCGCCTGACGTAAATGTCGTTGGGGATGTCTGCCTTGAAAATTGTACGAGTCCGGAACACAATATAAAACAAAATCTGTGTTAATCCAAGGCATCAAACACCATTGGTCCACCATATCCTTACAGTATATTGAGCAATTCTCTGTTCTCAATTACAAATCGAATTTACGAAGTGATTGACAACAAAGGCGGGACAACACATTACTATAAGTTTAAAAATGCTTGAAAATAAAATATAAGTAATAACAACCACTGTCGTTCATCATAGATTTTGAAAAGCTAGCTAGAAAACCTATCTTGATGACCAAATTTTCATTACGTTTTTATACCCTGAACCCATTAAAAATGGGTATAAGGGTATATTGTATTTGTGCAAAATCCAAATGTATGTAACAGGCAGAAGGAAGCATCTCCGACCCCATAAAGTATATATATTCTTGATCAGCATCAATAGCCGAGTCGATCTAACCATGTCCGTCTGTCCCACCGTCCGTCCGTCCGTATGTATGAACACAAGGATCTCATAACCTTTAAGAGTTAGAGACTTAAAATTAGATGTAGGTGCTCCTAGTTCCCGCGCAGATCGAGTTTGTTTCCGATAATCGATAACTTACTCCGTTTTCAAGCAATCGATATCGATATCCTGTTTTTTGGGCAATATTGGTAAATAATAAGAGCTAGAGTCACCAAACTTGACATATAGCTTCTAAAATAAAATATATATATGCATTTGATGTTGGAAGAATAGGGTTCAGGGCATCCCCCAATCGGGAGCTCCCGACTAGAAACTCTTACTTGTTTGGTAAAGTTTTACTTTAAAATAAATACAAATATTATCATGAATGTTAAAAAGGCCATTCACAACTTAAACTTTTTCGCGTCGCACATACCACTATGGGTAAAAATTGCAATAAATATTCATCCATATACTAAATTCCTAACCAATTCTACATCTTCTCTTTTTCCTACGACTTGTGGCTTACTTTAAGATTATAGCTATGGCTCTCACAAGGGATATCGCTAGGGTTCATCTATTCATCCAGCTATCAGTATTCGCTGTCTGCCTACCCAAGGAGCTGTCTTTAAAATATTTTTAGTATTTTATTGATTTTTGTTATGTGGAAATGGACCCACTTGCCTTCACACCTTAGTCAAAGGTCAGGCTATACTTTCAAACTTGAGTCAAGACTTTAAGGATTTTGGGGCAGTCGATACGCTTGGAGAACCTTCAAATGGAAGTTATTGACTCTATACCCTAAGAACTCATATTCATGGTTTTATATTAATAATTTATTACAATAAACTAGAAATGTTTATGATTATTAGCATTCGATTGAAATTTACTTATCGTTCGTTCTCAGCCTTCATACCACACAGGTCCAGGGTTGAACTTTCCGTCTTAACGAGCAAATGTCTTCTGTCTGTCGTACAGCCTATAGCCCTCGTGGCTTTGTAGTGCCTTCGTTGATGGTCATTTTTTAGGTTACTCGCCGTCTGCGAGTTCGCTGTTCTCTTTGCTCGTTGTCATTATCGTGTATTCGTCGATCATCTCTAAGCGTGTTCGTTGTCTAGGGATTCTTGCGCTGTTTGAGGTGCACAGTGGGATTTGGGTATGCAGTATTAACCCAATCCACATTCATTCTTTAAAAATATGAATTGCATTAAAAATGGTTAAAAATGGTAAAATGTATTTGTGCAAATGTAAGTAACAGGCAGAAGAAAGCAACTCCGACCCCATAAAGAATGTATATTCTTGATCAGCATCAACAGCCGAGTCGATCTGGCCATGTCCGCCTGCCTGTAGGTCCTCCTAGTGCCTGTGCAGATCGAGTTTGTTTCCTATAGTCAATTGCTTAGTCAATCGATAAAAATGGATATCGAAATCCTGTTTTTTGAACAAATTAGCTTTATGATTAGATCTAGACTCATCAAAAGAGATATGTTTATTCTAGAATAGTATATATGTATATACCAAGTATCTTTCATTTTATACCCATTGCCCCGCTACTACCTCATAGCTATAAATCAAGTTAATAGCCCAACTTGTATTGCCTATCAGTTTAAGTTACAAGGGGTATGGTCTGTCGCGAGTTCGAGCCCTACTGAGCGCGAGCTGCATTTGGTGTTGGAATAATAGAGTTCAGGATCCCTAGTCGGGATCTCCGGACTAGAACCTCTTAATTGTTTTATTTAGTAAATCTTCAATAATTCCCCTCTCATAAGATGAGAATCATCCTTAAGTCCAATGAAAGGAGGTTGTATCGGTTAGGCTTATGGGAATTTTTTGACTTCGTAAAATAATCTTGTTCTTCACATGAGTATGTAAAGTTTACTAACAGAAGACATTGGTCATCCGCCT